GTTTCTCTACAGCACAGACTCAATCGTGGGACCCACCACTCATTACAGACAAACTGTAAATCGATGGTGTGTGCAGTGTCTCATCTGGTAGGTGCGATCTCTTCACCTGAGTCGCTGCTGATCTTTCATTCCAGATACCGATGTTCGAGATCTGAAGTACCTCGTCCGCTTCACAAAGCACCTCGGCAATGCCGGCCAATGCATGATTAAAGCCACCTGACGCACATATCGAGCATCTTCCTTGACATTATGGCACTGCGGCCCTTATTAGTGTGGATAATCCAATGCTTATATCTCCGACCGTTGCATTATACAAGGAATATTGCACGAGGTCTGCTGTTCAGGGGTAGGGAGTTATGTGAAACTGTGCGCCAGCTCAGCTGAAGTGAACCGGCTTTGCGTGTATTTTGACTGAATCTGATTGCGTGACGTTTGTTGATTGGCCAAGCATGCAGCAAGGTGCATACCTAGCATGCTGTACCCGCGGGATGATCCCACAGTGGCTAGCTGGACACTGAATCCAAGCGAGCATTGCTAGTAGCCTAGTTCATGCATGCTGATATGTTCCAAGTAGGGTAATTGCACATCCCAGTTCGACTGCCCGACCAGAGAGGCTTTTCTGTCATCTCCACGTCCAGGAATGGCCGGGGACAACCAATTAAGTATATTGATTCTCATTTCTCACTTATTGATGATACAATCAATACAATCCTGCACATTCTTCAAAGAGGTGGCGTCCCTGAGCTTCTGATAAGATAACTCTATTATAAGTAATTGATCTGTGAAAGGCGTACCATAATTACTCCTTCGCATACCAGCACTGCCTGTGGGGACGGGTTGCGTTCGTAACGAACCTAGTGGACTACTAGTATATCCGACGACGGATAATGACGGAACGGACCCAGAGACTCTCTCGAACGACACAGCGAGGCAGTCTTCTTAGAGACCTGGAGGCAGGAGTCCAAGGAGATAAGAGTGCTCCGCGGCCCCGTGTGTATGACAACAGTAGCATCGGGAGAGGTACTGAGGCCGGACGTGACAGACGAACCCTGGCAAAGCTCGGAAGAGCCGGGACAGCGGACAAGCCACGCTAATTTGAGAAGTGGATTGGCGACCCACTCCCCTCTGGATCTTCTTATCCCCCCAGTAGGTAGACGGGAGGAGAGGTCGAATTCTGTCTTTTAGATACGCCGAATTCGGCGTAGATAGTACATGACTCGAAGGAGGAGCGGGGGTTGGAGTTCGATTCTTCTTTTCTTGGAGCAGCCTGGGGCCCTCCTTCCTACCAGCTTATATACTAAGCGAATAATAAAGCAACAACCTGCTCTATTATGAATAGATTATGCAGTCATGACATCTGGAACATGATTAGACACCACACTTACGGGAATCTATAGCAACTAGAAGTCTAGGATAAGGAAATCCCACCATCTATCTACTTGTAGTTCCTAGATTCCAATATAGAAGATAAATAATTTAAGACCTGTATGTATGGTGTTTCTTTTACAAAAAGGATTGTATGCCCTATATACCACTCCAACGTTCCTCTATGTAGATAAATCCCGCCAAAATAGATGAACTCAGCCAAGATTATTCTTCTCCTTCAGCATCTTAACGGCATCTTCCCGAAGCTTGAACTTCTGCACCTTGCCGCTTGCAGTCTTGGGGAAAGACTCTGATGGTTGCAGGAAGAATACGTGTTTTGGAACTATGCCAATCCATTAGCTATCTCATATGGATTGACAGAGTAATTTGGTGAATCAAAGGAAACATACCAAGATGGTTACTCAGCTTCTCACGAACCCACTGCCGGATCTTATCCTCATCCGCAGCTTCACTCTCAGGTTCCCGGTGGATAATGAACACAGCCACAGCCTCTCCATAACGCTCATCTGGCACGCCCACAGCCGAGGCATCGATCACACCGGGGTACGTCAAGAGACAGTTCTCAATTTCCAGTGGATGGATGTTTTCTCCGCCGCGGATGATGAGGTCTTTTACACGGCCGGTGATGGTGATATAGCCGTCTGGGGACATGGAGGCCTCGTCACCCGTCTAAGATCAAGAGGTCAGTACCAAGTAAATGCGGTTGTCAGAGGTTCTAGCAGTGTATGTATAGTACTCACATGCATCCAAACTTTCCCATCATTATCAGGTATCATAACCTCTGCTGTTTTTACCGGGTCATTCCAGTACTCTTTCATCAGGAGATAGCCGCTCACTGCGAGCTCTCCGCGAGTATTGATGGGCAAAATGTTATTGTGATCATCCAGGCTTACGACCTTTGCTTCAACATGCGGGAGTAGTCTTCCAACGGTGTTGATCCGTTTGTCGATTGGGTCATCTGTCGTGGTCATTGCAGAGACGGGGCTGGTCTCTGTCATTCCGTAACATATTGTCAGCTCGGTGAGATTTAGGACCTTGTGTAGTCTTTTCATCAACTCTGCGGGTATGCTACTTCCGGCTGCGATGCCCGTACGTAGGTACTGGAAGCCTTCGTTGGGGATTACCCCTTCGTCCAGAAGACTGAGCTCTTCGATAAACATTGTCGGTACGCCGTAAAGTGCAGTGCACTTTTCTTCTTGCACGGCTCGGAGGGCTGCTTTGGCGTTGAAGGCTTCTGTTGGGAATGCGATGGCTGCACCGTGGGTGGCAGTGGCCATATATCCTAGTACAGATCCGAAGCAGTGGAATAATGGGGGCGGACAGCATACAACGTCCTCTGGGGTGAGGCGCATTCTGTCGCCGATTTGGGAGCCGTTGTTGAGAATGGATCGATGGCTTAGACATGCTGCTTTGGGCATTGCGGTCGTTCCGGATGTGAATTGGATATTGACTATGTCTGTTGGGAATAAGTTGCGAGGTGGTAGGGCGCTTTTGTCGGACGTTGCGTCAGAGGTAAGTGATTTGTAGGCTGTTAAGCAGTTGAAGTCGGAGGTGTTGACGCGACCGGATGAGTTGTCGACCGAGATGATGTTCTTCAGTGAGGGAACTAACTCTGACTCAATGTGGGTCTTGGAGAGGTCCGGAATCAGGTGTTGAAGAAGTGGGATATTGCTTCTTGGGTCCTTGCGGGGGAGGTTTGATTCGGTGCTAATGATCAGATGGCTTGCTTCTAGATGAGCCAGGGCGGAGACTACTTGAGTCGCGTTGAATGATGGGTTGAGTGGAACCTAATGCTGTATAAGCCTTGATCTGATGGCATACAAGCGTTTTACCTACCAGGATCGCACCCAGCTTGAACAGTGCATAGGTTGCCTGCGAATAATCTGGTTATCACAAGGTATCTGAGATAGACTTTCACGGGCTAGCAGCATACCACAGCATGTTCCATGGAGTTCCCTAGCATGACGCCCACACGGTCTCCGGTCTGGACACCGACAGATTCAAGACCACGCGCAAGGGCATTGCTTCTGGCGTCAAGGGAAGAATATGTCGCTCGATCATTTTGTTGTTTGCAGATGACACTTATCACTGTCAGAATACCGCTCCTCCAAAGCACAAGCTCGATGGAAGAGGTAGAGCGTACGCTGGTCTATCGCCATACTGGTTGACGATCTTTGCGAAGTGGTCTCCAATCACTGTATCTAACAGTGGAGGCTGATATCATGTCAATATATTGCATCGATACCACGTTGATAAAACATGGCATGAAGCATGCTTACTTCTGTAGGACCTCGAGAATAGCTTGTCGTTAACAGTCCACGTCTTCCCGGCAATGCTGCCAACTGGAGGGGCTTCCTCACAGAGCATCTTCTGTGAAAAAGCCCTCTACAGTTTACTGAAGCAACGCGCATCTGGTTCTGTGGCAAGGTATGTTCATAGCAGTCTACCCATACACAGGTGGAGATCGTGGCGTTCGTCACCAGGATGTACCTCCCCTTGCTTCTAGCTTCACCAAAAGTTGGGTCTAGATTGACTCAACCAGGGATTGCAGGCGGATAGCTAAGAGCTCGGACTGCGCCACGCAAACTTGAAGCGTTGTGAACACGAGCTGAAATCTAGCCTTGACAATTGGCAGAATGAAGAATGAAGAGCTGAAGAGATGGAGTAATTAAAAGGCAGCTGGAGGAATGTGGCCGGGACTCACGTGTCCTGTAGATGCGGGGTTGATGCAGGCGGCTTGCCTATTTGAGACACTAGTACCTGCAGCTCAAATATTGCGGTAACACTCAATACTCAATTGGTTTGAGTACTTTAATCTTAACTCGGCATTTTTAAGGCACTGGTTATGAAAGCTCTATCAGGGATAAAATCAAAGATGTACATGTAGCTACTTTGTACTCTTGTTCCTCAGGCCGGAACTGTTCCGATTCCCGGGCGGGGAAATGAAGCTTACTAGGATGGATCTCCAGCTTAATTTAGGGCTTCCCCTCAATTGGTTCCTGACTACTTTGGCCCGAGAATAACCGAAGCCACATTCACCCCCATTTGTCTATCTATCTATATTCTGTGCTATCAGATGTGTTGTTCTAGACTGAATAATGTAGTACTAATATTCAGGGTACTTTAGGCCATTCCACACTGATTGGTGAGTAATGCTCATCTATTGTATCCGGACAGGTACAAATGCATCCATTTCGATTCATATCAGGCCCCACATCAAGATGACTTGTGCCTTAAGACTGCAGCAGTCGCCACCCTTGCAGCCTGCACCCCCTTGGTAACCGACTCTTCCCTCCCGGTCTCTTCCCAGTCACCGATCTACTCCCATTCATTCTCTTGGATGAGGTTCTCGCGCGCGAGCGAGCTGATCGTGATCACAAGTTAGCTAGGATTGAAGAGCTGATCAGGCAAACTCCTAGCCAGCATGTTGAACCCTCCGACCAGAAAGCAGCCGGTATCCGCCACCTACCCTTATCTCTTGATGGGGATAGTGGAACATCGCGCACGCTTCTTCCAACCATATCCAGAAGAATTGCCCCTCCCAGAGAACGAGGATGAGGAGGATCTTCTAAAATTCCCCCGATCCGAACCATATCCTGTGGGACACTCGTGATATGGAGATCTTTTTTACCAACCATTTCAGCAATAGCTGGGAATATGCATCAGATGAGTATCCTGATAACCCTCCTCCCTCTGGCATATATCGAGAGTATGTCCCCTTTCAGCACCAATCTTACATCTTTCATGGTAAGCAGTCTGTCTGACCGTTCATGACAGAATTGGAGACTATAAATTCGGCCAACTGCTGGAGTCTGTCGGGTTCAACTGGTATACCGTAACAGTGACGGAATATCCGGAAGGAAATTACCCACACTTCAAGGCTATGTTAGAAAGCGAAGCGATTGGGGATGGTCGACTGCTCCGCGGTGAGATTATGACTATCACTGATATCATGGCTGCTCGTCTGAGAACCAGGTCTCTACGATCGCATATCATTGCCCCAGTATGTACTCAAATAGTACTTACGCTAAAATAAACTAATTTTGATCGACAGATGCTGGTCATATCTCTCATGGGCCCTCGCCATGCCCGCGTCCTGGAAGCCGATTTTGACGGAGAGATGCTCAACATTCGTGCTTCCAAGCTGTACGACTTTTCGCGGGTGAATACCGATTCTGCGCAATTGATCACACGGTATTGGCTGGGAGGTGCGTGCGGCCAAACTACGATTGAAACGATGAAATCCAAGTAGATACGCTGGATTTGTTTAGGTACTGGCGCTGGACGCTACGTTATGATCAAATGGGTAATGAAATATGGTCCCTAGAGTACATGGTAAGGTTATATAATATTTGGATTAGTATGGGTTAGCATCAATATTGCAAAGTGGATAACTTTTTTCAGACTGTATTGTTATATTAAACATTCTAGCACTTGTGTATATCATAGCAATTGCAGCTGCTAGTAGCACTGGTCATGAAGACAGCACGGTTAATGGTAATAATAGTACATCTCAACACCGTCCTTTAAAGCTCCTTAATTATTGATATCTACCCAATACCCCCAATCAATACTACAAGAAACATGCTCCCTCACACCAAACATTTCCTTCACCTCACTTCCCCGACAACTCCCTCAACGCCCTCATCGCAACCTCCTCCTTCCCCTCAGGAACAAAAACATGATCATGATAGAACCCACTAACAACATTCGCACTCACTCCAGCCTCCTTGAGCTTAGCGCTAATAGCAGCCATCAGCCCCACCGCCTCAAGACTAGAGTGCACGCTGATGGTAATCATGCGGCAGGGGAAAACATAGTTCGTGAAGCCGTGTGCTTCGGCACGTTCACGAGTCACAATGTACGTGGTGCCTTCTGCTTCCTGGAAGAGGAGTTGGGGTTGCAAGGTGTGGAGATCCGGACTTGCTTGCGAGATGCTCGTGTGGGGGATGGTGAGGAAGACGAAAATGTCCGGGTGGAGAATTGGTGAGAGGGAGGCGAGGAGGGTTTGGAGGTTGGATTCGCCTGGGGTTGGGGGCATTTTGGTTTGGTTGAGGCTGTGTTTGGGTTTGTAGTTTGGATTGGGGGTATTGAATTAGTTAGGGAGGTATATTGGGAGTCGATGAGGATTGTTGGTTTGATGTAAGTAGACATTGGGATTGGTGGTGGTGATGAGTTCATTTTAAAATAGGCTAAACTTAATTTGGAATAGAGAGTAGTAAAGCGCGAAAAGCAACGCTCTAAATGCACTGGTTATAGACAACATCTGAAGTGTATATAGCTACTTTGATATAATTCATTGCATGAGGAGAAACATAATGCTTAGTATCCTCTTCCTTCTTTTTCTTCTCTTTCTTCTTCTTCTTCCTCCTCCTCGTCGACGAACACGTAAGAGGATCCTTCTGACCCTCTTGATGACGATTCTTCCGATGTTTCTTGTTGTTCTTCTGTTCCTTCTCCTTCCAATTCTTCTTCTCCTTTCTCTTTTTCTTTCCCTTTTCCTCCTCCTTCTTCTTCGTCATTGCAACTAGGGTAATCATTGTAGTCTTCGAGAATAGGAACCCAATCTTGATGTATTCTTTGTGCTGCTCTCTCTTCCTCTTCCCTATCCTTTCCTGTCCCATCTTTCGATGATGCTATCTTATCTTTATGCTTTCTCTCTGATGGCCCTTCTTCTGCTTCCAATGATGATTCTTCTTTTGACCCTTTCCTTGATGACGCTTTTGCTTCTTCGGGTTTCTTGTTTGGTGGCCTTTCTTCGACCTCTTCTTCGTCGGTCTCTTCTTCAGTCTCTTCTTCGTTGGTCTCTTCTTCTTCAGTCTCTTCTTCTTCAGTCTCTTCTTCGTCGGTCTCTTCTTCGTCGGTCTCTTCTTCGTCGGTTTCTTCTTCGTTGGTTTCTTCTGCTGCTGCTGCTGCTGCTGCTGCCTCTTCCTCATTAACCTCCTTGGCTAAACATTCTTCTTTATCTTTGTCCACTTCCTCTGCAACATTCTTAGATGCTTCAAGTTGCATATCCCTTTGCTTTCGCCGTTCCATCTCCCGTTCCTGTTGCCGTTTTTTCCTCTTCTCTTGCTGAGTGTAACACCCTTCCTCTCCACAAATACATGTTCGACCTTTCCAATATTCCCGGCCATAGTTAATCGTGAGTTCTTCAAAAGGTTGAATATCCCGCACGACCTCCACGGTCATCGTTGCCCGGTTCCCAATTGTCCGCCGTTCAAAAGTTGTATTAGGCCTGCAGGAGTGGTTGATAAACCGAGTGAAATTCCCATATTCCATCGGGCAAATCACAGCAATTTCCTTATCTACGTCGACTTTACCCTGCATGGTAAGCGCATATATGTGGTCACCTTTGTAGCAAGGTGGATGGAGCTCGCCAATATATTCACCCAGGATATCTCCTTTCTCAAATCGCGCAAGAGCACGTACCCCCACAACCTTGGGCGTTTCCACCAACTGCACGAATTCAAAGGGAGCCTCCTTTATTTGACATTCACAGATTTTCCCTTCGGCGCAGAGATCGCAAAGACCATAATTAAGGCCTTCTCGCAGCGTTGGATCCTTTTTCAGCCCCCGATGCTCTGGATCCTTCGCCGTTTGCCAGTCCCTGGGGTGAAAAATGCTAGCATCGATATGCTTCTGTGAGCGATCTTGAAATTTCGGTGTGCGAAAGTGTCTCTCCCTTTCATTTATGACTATTTCATGAGGATGCGTATGCCTGAGATTATCCGCTGAAGTTTTGGAAGCCAATACCTGGTTGAGCTCGGGTGGAGCAGCATCCCCCGCATATGGCGCCAACAATTTGCGCCATTCAAAACCACGCGTAGAAGCCTGAACCCAGATATTGAGATGGTGTCGCTGAAATTTCCCATATAAGGCTTTCCACATTAATGTGCTTTCTTCCTTACATAGCCTTCGAAAGGCTTCCGCTTGTACACATATCGCAAGCATGGGCCAGCCGAAGTTCTCGGCGAAAATTCGTAGTCGGCTCGCTTCTCGCTCCTCGCAATCCATATTGGCCTCATTAAATGACCATATTGTGCAAGTAAGGGCCTTCTCTAAGGCCCGTGATGCGTAGATACACCGCGCCTTGTAGTCCAATTTTGCCACCCTGTTGTTTTCACTTTCGTTGTGTATTTTGTTGACCTCATATAAGTCGTACATGAACGCATGCAGGATCTGGTCTCTATCTTGTATAGATGCTGGGGATAATGGGCGGGGCTGGAAGGTGCCCATCTTAAGTCGTTTGTTAGGAGTATTGTCTGCATCTCCTCCTTCTTGTCGCCGCTTTGTCTGGGATCCTGATAGTTGCACTGGGGCTGGGGAGCTCGTGTTGGGTTGTTTTCTGGGAGAGCATTCCGTGTCTTCCCCTCCTTCCTGCCTCTGCTCCTCCTGGGATTGCAGTGGCTGGGATGGAGTGTGAAGAGTCGTATTGCCCCGTTTACTTGGAGAGCTGTCTGCCTCTCCTCCTTCTTGTCCCTGCGCTTCCTGGGATTCTGATGTCTCTGATGGGGTAGGGGGGATTGTCTCAGACTGTTTGCTAGGAGAGATGTCTTCGTCTTCTTCTTGTCCCCGCTGTGTCTGGGATCGCAATGTTCGGGATGGAGCGGGGGAACTCCTTTTGGGCCGTTTGCTAGGAGAGCTATCTGCGTCTCCTCCTTCCTCTTGCCTCCGCTTCCTCAGAGAACGTGATCGTGAACTGGAGGTTTCTTTCGGACCGTTGTCCGAGACTCTTTTCGCAGCCATAGATCAGGTAGTTGCGGTATGATTAGAAAGAACTGGTGGGATGGGTAGTGACGTCTTTGAGGCTTCTCGGTCTGATTTGGGTAGCTACAGGCTCCGCCTGTATTGGGTTGGCTAACTTTCGGGGGTTTAAGTATTCGGAAGCTGCCATCATGAAAACGGGCCTCTTCCGGTAACCTGCGGTGTAACATAATGAGCGTTTGTAAACCTTCGGCACAAAGCATCTGTTCAAGACTGCTTTGTCTTGCCCATATTTAGATCATCTTGGGTAAGTATCACTTGGTTCCATGGATTCGTAGCATGATATGTCGGGGAGTATTGTTCCTTATATGGTCTTATCAACCGATTATTTCAGGCGGAAGAGTCAAAGACTGGAGATAAACCATAGACTTATAGCATTGAGGTATGAAACCTATAAAGGAGCTATCGGGTAGATATAATTCTTGAAATAATGAGATGGGGAGACTCTTTGTTGTCGGGGGTCAGATCCATGCGTCGTTCTTTGTTGGTATTTCCATGGATGTTGGTAGATAATGAGGAGGATGAGATATCTGCTTGGTTCTTTATTGTTTACTATTTTTGGATACTCAAACGGCTGTTGGTAACAGGATTGCTCCATATTTAAATTTGACTGTTTATCTTCTTGTCAGTAAAATCGCATAGAGTTATGAAGGTCATAAAGTTCAAGCTTCGGAATGGTCATTGGTAGTCATTGTTGAGACATTCTTGTTCCCCATTATGCTCCAGGCGGCCAGTGAGATATGTCTTTGGCCTACTGACAGGATCTCTGTCGGCAGCACTCCTGCCTACTATGTTAGTGACAACAGTCTAGTACAGTCATTCGTCAATTCATTTTCGTCAGTAGGGGAATATGGTGAGTCTATTTAGAACAAGTAGACCATGTATTGAAGCAGCAGACTTGTAGTGGCCTGGATGCAGTGCTCTCTCCGTTTATTGACATCTTAGTTCGATGAAAGGAATCTTATATTGACCATCATATATGAATTTCATCTATTCCAGGCTTATCACTATAAATAACGTTGTCATGTGACTGACTGTCCTTGCAGAGCCAGTGCCGGACAGTTTGGGCACCCCGGATGACGAAAGTCTGCAGGATGATGATAGCCATAGGGTTACTACTAGTTTCTGCACAATAGTAAGCAACCAAACCTCGGCTTTAAAATTAAAAGAATCGAACGAATTATATGAAGCAACGAATGCCCACACAAGCGGTGTGAAGCATAGCCATGTGAAACCCAAAGGGGCAGTGCCAAAATCAGGCCGGAAGATCAATGATCCAGTCGCGGGGCGCGCGGGTTGTCGGGGTCCCAAAGCGGCCTAGCGGCAGGCAGTCGGGGTCTCGAAAGGGGCATAGCGCCAGGCTGGGGCAGATGAGCCTCGTTCAGGCCATTGTATGTAAGCCTTGTACCACCGCCGGTCCATCCTTCGATTTCCTTCACTCCTTTTTGTCTGCCTGATTCTTCATCATCTCCAGGGACACTCCTGAGGGTTACCTCCTTTCGTTGTTTGCCTCTCTTCATCTTTGAAGGCTTTGCCAAGTGCCGGGTTCGACGTGACTCACCCCGTCGGAAAGGTTTCTCCTCCGTCTTTCCTTATCAGGCAATAATCTCAAGGCCGGCTTTTTCCCCCCGTCCTTCCGGTCATCCTGAATTCCCGGTCATCAACTCTCCCTCAAAGCCTCGTCTCTCCTTCGATCATGGCTGCCGACCAGTTGCTCCAGTCTATCGCTCATTCCACTCCCGGTGAAGAGTGGTTTGACTTTGACAACTCCTTCGACATCCCCTACGGGGGTGTGGGAAGCAATCCCACTTCGGTGGATTCTGTCTCCCCAAAGGATTTGGATCTAACTTTTGCCGACTTTGATGACTGCAATTGGGGTCCGAGTCCTGGGGTCTGCACTCAGGAGCTATTCGCTGATCTGGTCAACTATGATGCGCCTATGGAGGGCTTTGGAGGACATGCATTGGACGCCTCGCCATCCATGCTGGACCCCGCCGAGTCCTTCCACCAGATGCCCGCATCTCCGGCTCCGGGGCTGATGGGGTCGGAGCTGACTGACCTATGGTCACAGGATATGGGCGGGGTTGACGACCCCTTCTACACCACTGTCCGACAGATGGTGGAGTTCCAAGCTGCTGCTGATCCAAGCGCCTTGTCTAGCAAAGAAAAGCGCATGGAGGCGTCTATTGCTCTTCACATGCAACGCCTCCAGGAAGCAGCAATGCAGGATCTGGAACTGTCGTCGGACTCGAGCACAACATTCCCATCCCCTCGCTGGTCCGACTCTGCAGCAAGCGTTTATCAGGGTGGGACATGTACAACCCCAGCTACCACACCTCTGCCCGATGTAACGCGCACACCAGTCTCGGGCTCTGAGTCTGCAGCTGGGGCCATGGAACTGGTGCTTGATCTTAACATGAACACAACCACAAACGTACCAAAGAAGCAAAAGCCTCGGTCGCAAGCTCAGAAAGAAAACTACATCAAAGTTCGAAAGCATGGTGCTTGCGAGAAGCACAGGAAACAACACAAGCGGGTAAGTAAACCTCCTAGAGCAGCCGGATGTCTGTGTACTAATTCAAGTATAGTGCAACTGTCTCGAGAAGGCCGCCTCTCAAATTGCTGTCAGCCAAAAGGCTGTTTCTACTTGCAACATACCAATGAAGTCGACCTTCAGCACACAACGACATGTTCACAGATCCGAACGAGAATCTCTTCTTGTGAGCACGGCGCCAACACCAGCCAGTAAGTCAACTGTTTCACAGCCGACAGGAGGCTTGGGTTCAAAGGAGCTTCAATACGTTCAACTTCGGCATCGCCACCGTTTGCCATCCACTCCTACGTCGATGGATCCTCAATATGGACACCACTCGCCACACTCAGTCAAGTCAGTTGCAAGCTGCCGTGGCGATGTAGACCTCAATGGCGGTACAGGTCGTCCGACAACGTTCCGGGACAGCTCGGGACAACAGCAATCACCAAGGTCACCTGGTTCCGACCGCAGGGTCGGCCTCGTCCATTCACTGTCGAAGAGACTGCAGATCTGTTCGACATCAAGTCAGACAGATCGGGGAGCACTGGCTCTTTGCCATTCTCCGGACAGACAACAGGCAAGCCAGGCTGTTACAGCCCGCATGCATGTGTCAGTCCAGGCATCAATTCCACCCCGATCCAGTACAGCTGCCGTCAGCGGCGTACTATGCAGGCCCAGCCCCTCGACGGGTGCTGCTGCCACAGCAAGCGTGCAATCCAACCGCGGCACTGAGACCAGTGCCATATTCGAGAGACACGCCAGTTCCTGGCGCGTCAGATCTTCGGAATATCCATCGACACCCCACTCGTTGGCTGTACAAGCCAACGATGTCCACGACCAATCCGCGTCGCGGACAATTGTGTCAAGGGTACTTCAAAGCGTCTTTCCGGTTTCTCACTTCTTGGATTTATCTGTATGCTTCGCTTCTTGGTTGAGTACGTGCGTTGACAAAGCCTGGAGCTTTTCCAGCTTTGGCAAGCTCGTCATGGTATCGACCAGACGGCATTGGCTTGCGGGGAAGGGATTTCGATGGGGTTGATTGAGATTTAAAACTTGCATAAGCGTGTTTTCTCTGTTTTATATGTATATTTACCAGTTATTTAGCGGTGTTAGTTCTGTCTTTGCTTGATACCATCGTCCATGCTAGAGCATGAGGTGAACAGTTAGGAATGGTCATTTCATACATCTTATTCTAATTGGTTTAACTTTTATTGATCTCATATTCAAGCAACTGACAAGTAGCGTTGACCACATACTTACTGAATTTCGAACAGGACCCCTCAAGTAATCGGTAATCAGGAGTACGTAGTACTCAAGGACATCCCATACTGCGAATCCCGAGTCCACCGTCCCCACTGCTATACAATCCCACCAACCAATCAACAGCCCTCCATCATCCGCGTTCCAGCGGGCCCCAAACCGAATGGATCCATTTATCAATCCATCCATCCATTCCATCTCCAGTTCTCATCTCACTCCCTCCATCCAAAAGAAACCATACCCAACCCTCTCCCCCATCTTCGAACCCAATGACCCCCTCCACCCCCACCGAATCGCATTGGCGATTCTCCACCGTAACAGGCTACTTCTACCAAAGCGAGCCCACCACCGACCCCAACACCTTCAACTACGTACGTCCACCCCAACTCCCCCTATCCAACCCAGAAACTAAAATCATAAATCCAGGCATCCTCCAACTTCGGCCTCATCCCCCGCGCCTACCCCACAGACGCAGACTTAGGCCCTAACAACAACAACCAAAAAACCACCTGGGAGCGCTTCGCCCACCACGTGCGCACCCTCAACGCCCAATCCACTGACCCTAATGTCCGCTACAAGGTGCTCTTCCTCGGCCGCCACGGAGAGGGCTACCATAACGTAGCGGAGCGAGAGTACGGCACGGAGGAATGGGATGTAAGTAAACCAGTTATCTAAACTC